GATGCTTAACTGACTGAGCCACCCAAGTGTCCCTTGCCCTCTTCCTCTTTATTTTTTGTGTATCTATTATAGGTTTGGAGGTTGTAGTTACCATGAGGTTCACATGTAACATCCCAAGTGTGTAACGGTCTGTATTAAGCTGAGGGCCACTTAAGTTCAAACACATTCTACAAGAACATTTTTACTCCTCACTCCATGTTTTATGTGTATGTTATCATATTTATAACTTTTTACTCATATTCTTCTAATTATTGTCTTTTTCTCTTCCACTTAAGTCCCTTTAATATTTCGTGTAAGGCCAGTTTAGTGGTGATGTACTCCTTTAACTTTTGTTTACCTGAGAACCTCTCTGTTTCTCATTCAATTCTGAATGATAATCTTGCTGGGTGGAATATTCTTGGTTGTAGGTTTTTTTCCTTCCAGCTTTTGGAAAATATCATGTCATTCCCTTCTGGTTTGTACAAATTTTCTGCCAAAAAATCAGCCTTATAGAGTTTCCCTTGTACATAACTTTTTGCTTCTTTCTTGCTGCTTTTAAAATTCTCTTTAGGGATGCCTGGATGGCTCAGTTGGTTAAGCATCCAATTTCGGTTCAGGTGATGATCTCATGGTTTGTGGGTTCGTGCCCTGCATCAGGCTGAGTACTGACAGCTAGCTCAGAGCCTGGAGCCTGCTTCAGATTCTGTATCTCCCTCTCTCTCTGACCCTCCTCTGCTCATGCTCTCACTCTCTCTCTCAGAAATAAATATTAAAAAATTTTTAATAAAATAAAATTCTCTTCATATTTTTTAAAGTTTATTTTTGAGAAAGAGAGAGAGAGAGAGAGAGAGAGAGAGAGCATGAGCAGGGAAGGGGCAGAGAGAAGGAGACAGAGGATCCAAAGCGGGCTCCATGCTGACAGCAGAGAGCCTGATGTGGGGCTCAGAACTCCTGAACCGTGAAACCATGACCTGAGCTGAAGTCAGATGCTCAGCCAACTGAAGCTACCCAGGTGCCTCTAAAAATTCTCTCTTTAACGTTCAACATTTTAATTATTATGTGCTGTGATGTGGACCTCTTTGGGTTCATCTTGTTTGGAATTCTCTGTGCTTCCTGGACCTAGATGTCTGTTTTGTGGCTCCAATTAAGATTTTCAGCTCATATTTTTAAATAAGTTTTCTGCCTCTTTCTATTCTCTTCCTGGGTCACCAAAATGTGAATGTTTTCTTGTTGTCGTCAAACGGATCCCTTAACCTACTCATTTTTTTTTTTTTAATTCTCCTAATTGCTGTTCAGCATGCGTGTTTTCCATTACCATGTCCTCCGGGCCACTGATTTGTTGTTCTGCATCTGCTAATCTTCTGTTGATTCCCAGTAGTGTATTTTTCATTTCAGTTATTGTGTTTTCAACTCGAGTGTGTACTTTTTTGCATTCTTGCTCTTTGTTGAAGTTATCATAGAGTTCTTCCACTCTTCTCTCCAGTCCAATAAGTATCTTTAAGATCATGACTTTAAACTCTTTATCAGGCATGTTGCTTATAACTGTTTCATTTAGTTCTTTTTCCAAGGTTTTGTCTTACTCTTTTATTTAGAGCATGTTCCTCTGTCTCCTCATTTTACTTGACTTTCTGTGTGTGTTTCCATGAATTAGGCAGCACAGCTACTTCTTCTAAACTTTGAAGGGATGGTCTTGTGTATGGCCATTCCCTGTGTAGACTGTGTGTGCCTGGTGACTTTGGCTGACTGGAGCCGTGAAGGGCCTGGGCTGTGGGTCCCAGGACACTCCATGCCAGAATGTCCTAGAAGGATGGCCAGCGCTATTGTAGACCTTGGCCAGGGCAGACCCTGGGCTCCCTGCACAGAGGGCATCCTGTCAGAATGGCTGAAGCTGAAGCCGGTGCAATCTGAGGGACCCTGGGGCCGTCCATGTAGAAGGTGCCCTGGTGGAGTGGCTGGAGCTGAGGCACAGGCTGGGGGTCCCGGGGTACTCCATGTATGGGGCACCCTGGTGGGGTGGCTGGAGTTAAGGCGGCACGCAGGCCAGGGGCACTCTTCACAGGAGAGGCCCTAACAGGGCAGCTGCCTTGCGTCAGGAACATTACCTCAGTCTCTGCTTACAAATGTGAGAATATGGAGTATAAATTGTACGTTGTCAGGAGGGTGATGAATGCAGCTGAGAAAGAATAAAGTTTAAGGATTGTTATAAAAGATCATATAAATTAGCATTAAGATGTCTTTGACAATGTGACAATGTGAAACAATGTTGCTTGAATCTGCAGAACCTCAGTTTCTCCCTCCTTACCCAACGTATTTACCTCACAAAATTGTGGTAACGATTATATGAGATCTGCAAAGTATTACCCAAGTGTTAGTTGTAATTATGAACACCAGCAGTGTATTGTACTTCGGGATGCAAGATGCTTCTGCTGACTTCCGGATAACAAAAGCTTTCTCGCAGACTTCCCTCGAACCAGCTTGGTGAATATTCTCCAGTCCCTTTATACACACACCTGTGGGGTTTCTTGGCATCTGGAACACTTGCAGTTAGTAAGCTTCAATTTAGCGTGCCTGCCTGTTTCTTCTTCTGGTGGAAGAAGAAGGAGAAACACACTTCTTCTTCCTCTTTCTTTCTGTCACTTCTACTTGTTGTTATACTTATGTCAAAGACTTAATTAAATATTATGTAGATCTGTAAAATATCAGAGTGAACACAAAGCTGTAATTTCATGAGCCCTTAGTTGAATGTTTCAAGACGGTTCAATGAAGTTGAGCGGCTACAATCAAAACTGCAGCTGATTTAAATGCAAGTAAGATTAGGGGGGGGCTGGGTGGCTCAGTAAGCTAAGCATCCAACTCTTAATTTCAGCCCAGGTCTTATGATTTCATGGTTATGGGATCGAGCCCTGCACGGGCTGACTGCGTGGAGACTGCCTGGGATCCTCCGTCTCCCCTTCTCTCTCTCTGCTCCTCCCCCGGCCCCTCCCTCTCTCTCAAAATAAACAAACTTAACAAAATGCAAGTAAGACTAATATAAAACACCGGGAGAAAAACCCCAGCAGTAAAATCTAAGAAGCTTCTCTATCTAGATTGCTTTAAAGAATCTTACACTAGGAATTCTAGATGATGCAGTGGTTTATACCACAGGCCTGGCCTTTCCAAGAAAGAAACCCAGCTGGGGAGACTCATATTTAAAACGTTAAAACCTCTGCCCAGTATCAGAAGTTCAGTGACTAAGTGTATGTTTATGTTTTAAGTTAAAATAAAGCATTAAAGGTAAGGATGTATCATTTTCATGATTTCCTGCTGTACCTGACTAGACGGGGTGAGAGGGCATCTACCATGTGGTTGTACATAGCCACACAGGACATGCAGTCCCCAAAAGTGTTTTTCAAGTGGGAAAATACCAGGTAGAGACACCCAGAGGTGTCCTCCAGAATTGAAATGTCAACAGTCTATACCACTGGGAGCTGGGTGTTAATAGTCAGGATTTCCTTTAGCAAGAAGCCTTGATGTATCATAGCATTGGGTGGTACAGAGTCTTTTCTGTGGGGTACTCGGTGGCTCGGTTGGTTGAGCATCTGACTCTTGATTTCAGCTCAGGTCATGATCCTAGGGCTGTGGCATCAAGCCCCAAACACAGCATGGAGCCTGCTTAAGATTCTCTCTCTTTTTCTTTCTCTCTCTCTCTTTCCTTCCTTCCCTCCCTCTGCCCTTCTCCCCAACTTGTGCTCTGTCTCTAAAATAAAATTTAGGGGCGTCTGGGTGGCTCAGTCAGTTAAGTGTCTGACTTCGGCTCAGGTCATGATCTCACGGTTCGTGGGTTCAAGCCCTGTGTCGGGCTCTGTGCTGACAGCCAGCTCAGAGCCTGGAGACTGCTTCAGATTCTGTACCTCCCTCTCTCTCTGACCCTCCCCTGCTCGTTCTCTCTCTCTCTCTCAGAAATAAATAAAACATTGAAAAAAATTTTAAATAAAATTTAAAAGTATATAAGTCTTTTTTTCGAAGTACTTGGCTTTAGAATGTTTTTCAAACTATGAGCTGTAAAATAAGTTTAGTTAATTAAAAAGAATAGAATAGAAAATAGAATGTATCTCAACTTAAAAAGGGAAGTTTGAAATTATATGAAGTAAGTTCAGCACATACTAGCTGAGACAAAAGCTATAAGTAACTGTAGAAATAAAAGAAGCAACATATTTTTTAAATCAAATTTTTATAGCAGGACAAAAATATAAATTAGAATAAAACATAAGAAACTTTGAGGATGAAATGACCTGAAGTCAAGGGTTTGCTTTAAAATGTTATAGAAGAGGGGCACCTGAGTGGCTTAGTCCATTAAGCATCTGACTTCAGCTCAGGTCATGATCCCACATTCTGTGGATTTGAGTCCCGCATCGGGGTCTGTGCTGACAGCTCAGAGCCTGGAGCCTGCTTCGGATTCTGTGTCTCCCTCTCTCTCTGCCTGTCACCTACTCATGCTCTGCCTGTCTATCTCTCAAAAATGAATCAACACTTAAAAAAAATAAAAAAAAATAAAATGCTATAGAAAAAAAGAAGAAAACCAGGGAGAGAAGGAATAAGGGAGGGAAGAGGAGAGAGAAAAGTACAGCAAAATAAACTCTGGGGAACAGATATATGGGGGTTCATTATACTGTTCTCTTTCTTATATGTTTGGTAACACACTTAAAAATAGGGGTGCCTGCCTATTGAGCTCAGTCAGTTGAGCGTCTGACTTCAGGTCAGGTCATGATCTTGCAGTTCTCGAGCTGCGCTGACAGCTCAGAGCCCAGCAGTAGTGACTCGAACAGTGCACATGTGCATCCGTGCACACAGGACAGAACTCCACGTACAATCCCAGAGCAGTGACACAGCCTTGCCTCTTACTGAATTGAAATATTTTGAACAAGCGCTTCCAGGGTGAAAGAAAATCAATCCCAACTGAGCTCTCTGAATATTCATGACAGCCGTTTTAAGCCAAGGACTGCCGTGGACAGTGGTTCATAGACTAACTTCTTCTTTTCCAGGAAGAACTGGGACTATGGTTTGTGCCTGCCTTATCGCCAGTGAAATATTTACAACCGCAGAGGTACGGAAGATGATACTGCAGACTCTGTCTTGGGCTGACTGAGTTCGGTAGCTCTGAAACCTCACTGGTAGGACGTGAATATGATTCTTTGAGTCGCGGCACTTAACAAAGTCGTAATTGGAGGCTCAGTTATTAGAAGAGCTGATACTTGTTGATACTTCTTGTTTAACTTGTACTGGTTAGTAACTGACCTAGGTGCTCCTTAACTCTAGGTCAGTGGGACACTCGCTTCAGGCACAAAATTTAAAGGGAATGCCAAAATTTTCAGTAATTAAGATAAATAATCGAATGTGTTATTTTCAAAGATCAAAACTAATACAAAAAAATCCATGGTGTATTACAATAATACCAACATTTTATTTTATTTAAATGTTTTCTTATTTTAGAGAGCGAGTGAGAGAACAGGGGGAGAGGATCTCAAATAGACTCCACGTGGGACTCAATCCTGTGACGCTGGATCGTGACCTGAGCTGAAGCCAAGAGTCAGACACTCAACCTACTGAGTCACCCAGGCACCCCAATAATACTAACACATTAACTAAAGATGACTCAGGGGCGCCTGGGTGGCTCATTTGGTTAAATGTCTGGCTCTTGATTTCGGCTCAGGTCACGATCTCACAGTTTGTGGGAATGAGCCCCGCATCAGGCTCTGTGCTGACAGCTCAGAACCTGCTTGGGATTCTCTTTCCCCCTCTCTCTGCCCCTCCCTGCTTGTGCTTGCTTTCTCTCTCTCTTCTCCTCTCTCAAAATAAATAAATACATTTTTAAAAAATAATAAAATAAATGAAGACAGGGCCAAATAGGGACAGGATTGGGCCACCTAGGTGGCTCAGTCGGTTAAGCATCCGACTTCGGCTCACATCATGATCTTGCGGTCCATGGGTTCGAGCCCCGCATCAGGTTCTGTGCTGATAGCTCAGAGCTTGGAGCCTGCTTCAGATTCTGTGGCTCCCTCTCTCTCTGCCTCTTCCTAGCTCATGTTCTATCTCTCTCTGTCTTAAAAATAAATAAAAACATTAACAAAAAAATTTTTTAAACAAATAGGGACAGGATTGAGAGGAGGTAGGGTCAAGCAGTCCAAGTGTAAAAAAACTCTACACTCATAATGCTTTCTTCACTTCACCTCATCCCAGCCCCACTCTTGTGCCCGCAGTTAGGGGACTTCCTCCTTCCTCACAAGAATAATATCAAGACTGGTTTGATAAGTTCTCCAAAGGACCTCAAACATCCTTAGAAGTGCTAGGTGGGGGCGCCTGGGTGGTTCAGTTGGTTAAGCCTCTGACTCTTGGTTTTGGCTCAGGTCATGATCTCACAGTTTGTGAGTTCAAGCTGTGTATCAGGCTCCATGCTGACAGTGTGGAGCCTCCTTAGGATTCTCTCTCTCCCTCTCTCTCTGCCCCTCCCCTGCTCACACACTCTTTCTCTCTCAAAACATAAATAAATAAACTTCAAAAAAAAAAAAAAAAGAAGTTCTAGGTAGATAAAAGGTACATTTTGCCACACAGAACAAAACCTCTCCTGTGTGATATTAATCACTCTTTAAGGGATCTGGGCCCTCTGGAAATTTCTGCAAAGACACGGTGGGCTATTTCTATTTGTTCAGTTGGGGTTCTCAGTCTTAGTTCTGCCATGATCCTGTTGAGAAGCCCCCATGTCCCCCCTGAACTGAGGCACCCAACAGTCTGAGAAGCGACCTTCACATTGTCTACGCAGCCCGCCCTCTGGCGCCACCCTCTGCTTTCTCCCTAATTTGAGACACACAAGTTAGAAAAACGGGTGTTCTCCGACAGTGTTTTTCAAACCAGATCTAATCTACCCGTTGCAGTAAACTCAACTTCCTTGGGTTGTGACTGGCATTTTTAATAACAAAATGGAATAGATTAGAATGGAAAATAGCAACAGGTAAGTATTGTCTTGTGAAACTTTGGTTTCAGTTGTGTGTGAGTGCGTCTGTGTAAACCGCCTTGATGCGACTTGCGTGTTGTTGTGGGCTTTATTTGGGGCTGCTGCCGTGAGGACAGATGTGCCCTCGGAACTGTTAAGAACGCCTTACAGGGGGAAGAAGGCGCCGACCAGCCATGACTGCGTTTCCCCCTTTCCCGCAGGAGAGCCTTTACTACTTCGGGGAACGGCGGACAGATAAAAGCACCAGCACTAAATACCAGGGAGTCGAGACTCCTTCTCAGGTAAGTTGTCTCTTTTACAAGGGGATTCTTCGGGAAGTCGGTGAAGATTGGCAGCTATCACTTGGTTTCATTTTAGATTCTTTTCCTCTGGTGATCAGGCAGCCTGACTTGGTGCCTGTGACGGGCCTGGGGCCCTCCCAGGGCCCGAGGCCACGCCTGGGGCCCTGCCTGGGCTCTGCAAGCACCGAGTTCGCCCAGGGCGTCCGTGGTCTGTTTTATATAGGTCAGTGCTCGCAGAGTTCAAGAGTTGCTTCCCTTCCCAAAGTAGGAAGGTCTGGTTTCTAAGGTTCCAGACCCGTGAAGATTATTGTAAGTCACAAGCCTCTGATTTTCCTCTAAAGAGAAACTGAGTTTGTCACAAACCCCTACTGGGGCAATTCAGCTCTTGCAGAACATCATGTCTTGTATGTGTGTGTGTGTGTGTGTGTGTGTGTGTGTGTGTGTGTGCGTGAGAGAGAGAGAGAGAGAGAGAGAGGAGGGGGCTGCTGTATTTTGAAAGAGAAAGAAGAGAGGAAATGAATATCTTTCAAAAACCTAGTATATACGAGACACTATTGCACTTTGACGTATATTATCTCATTTAATACTCAGAAAGCTCAATGAGGTATATGCAGTTACCCTATTTTGTCCTCTTTTTTTTTTTTTATTAAAAAAAATTTTAACATTTATTCATTTTTGAGAGACAGAGACAGAGCACAAGCAGGGGAGAGGCAGAGAGAGAGGGAGCCACAGAATCTGAAGTAGGCTCCAGGCTCTGAGCTGTCAGCACAGAGCCTGACACAGGGCTCAAATTCACAAACTGTGAGATCGTGACCTGAGCTGAGGTCAAACACATAATTGACTGAGCCACCCAGGCGCCCCACCCTATTTTGTCCTTTTAAAAATGTTTTATGATGGACAATTTCACATAAAATGTCAAGACAGGGGCACCTGGGCTCAGTCAGTTAAGCGTCGTTGGACTTGATCTCGCCTCAGGTCATGATCTCATGGTTTGTGGGTTCAATCCCCATGTCAGGCTCTACACTCTCATCACAGAGCCTGCTTGGGATTCTCTCCCTCTGTCTCTGCCCCTCCCTGGGCTCCCTTGCCTGCTCTCTCTCTCTCTCAAATTAATTTTTTAAAAAGTCGAGACAATCTTATAATAAATCCCCTTATAGTCCTCACACCATTTGAACAATCATTTTAACACGCGTCATTCATTCCCTCCCCAAATCCTCACACACACTCTCCTTCTCCACCTTTTCTCTGAATCTGGATTACTGTGGAGAAAATCCCAGCCTGCAGATCTTATTATCCCATGAGCATTTTAGTACGACGTCTAAGAAACATCTAGACTCTTGAGGGGGAAAAGCACCTGAAAACCATTTATCATATCTAAAAATATTATACCTTAATAATGCCATGATAATATCAAATGTCTAGTCCAAGTTTAAATTTTCATAATTATCTTAAAATATTTCTAAAATTTAGTTCATTTCAGTCAGGATCCAAACAAGGGTCACACATTTCATTTGGTTGCTATATATCTTCCGTCTCTTGTAGTTTATAGGTTTCCCATCTCTCTCTTTTATAGCTTGTAGTTTATTGCATAAGTCAGGATATTTATCCTACAGAACTTAGACATTCTGGACTTTGTTGTAAAAACCATGCATACGCATTACCTCGTCTACTATTCTCAAAAACTCTGAGTGGCTACCACTATGGTTCCCATTTTACAGATTGGGAAGTTGAGTTTCAGGGAAACTATTTGAATCAAGAACTTGACCCCAGCTCTGTCAGACTCCGAAGCCCTTTATTTCCCACCCTGTGCCCCTGTGCCTGGCCTCTCCTCTCTACTGCCTTTTCTATATTGCTCCCCAGACAGTGGTGAGAGCTGGTTAGGAATCCTTTTTTTTTTTTTTTTTTAATGTTTATTTATTTATTTTTGAGAGAGACAGAGACAGAGTGTGAGCAGGGGAGGGGCAGAGAGAGAGAGACGGAGACACAGAATCCAAAGCAGGCTCCAGACTCTGAGGTGCCAGCACAGAGCCTGATGCGGGACTCAAGCCCACAAACTGTGAGATCATGACCTGAGCCACCCAGGCGCCCAGGAATCCTTAAGTAATCGTGGCTGCGGCTGTGCATGAAAGATTTGAGTTAAGTGTGAGGAGCCAGAGAGATCCCTGTGGCCTTGGTTAGCAGCACATTGTAACTGCTGACTCTAGACATTTCGTTTGGGGCAAAAGAACTCAGCCTTATCCATTGATATTTTCTGCCAACCTCAAGCAAAACAGAGGGGAGAAAGGTCACAGGCCATAGGCTGAGAGTAGAAAATGAACTTACTGTAGCCCAGCTACAGGCATGGACACCGTGGCATGGCCATGCTCAGGATGCATACTGGATTCTGACTGCTGGTGGCAACAAATACCATGTCTCACCTGGCGCTCAAGATCTCCTAGATACAATTTTTCCAACCGTTGCTTTCACCGCGTGCCTCCCGCGTCCCACGCTCCAGCAGTTTGGACGGTTTGCGGTCTCCCACCCTGTCCACACTTTATATCCACGTGCCACTGCTCCGTGAGGCCCCCTTACCGGAGCCACTTGCCCTTCGAGCCTAAGGGAGTCCCTTGTTTTTTCACTTCTTCCAGCCCTTTGTGGTTGGCAGGGGACGAAGTTACTTCCCATCATTCTCTAGCTGTCCGAAGTGGCGGCTTCTCCACCCCTTGTGCGGGCGAGGCCATGCCTTACTCATCGTAGCACCTTTGGCATCCCCACGTGCCTCACACGGGCTCCCTTTTGCTTGTGGGGGACACATGTTCATTGTAGTAGCTCCTGTTGTCCTAAGCTGCGGGAGAAGGAAGCGTTGGGGGTGTGGGGGACTTGGTGGGGGTGGGGGAAGCAGCCTGAAGGCCCTGCTGGGATACAAGCCTTCCTAGGGCAGTAAAGCCTCTAGTGGCAGGAGCCAAGGGGATGTTAGAGGCACCTCCTTCAGGGACTCTCCCCGTACGTTCTCCCTTCCCCACACCTGCGCCGTGCAGTTTCTCTCAGCTCAGAACCAGCACGCCAGAGGCTACAGTGGACTCTCCGAGTCACTGGGATGACAGCTCAAGCACTTGGCCTCAGCTCTGAGCGCCATGTTGGTAGGGCCCCAGGACTGCGATCCCTCCCTGGGGGGCAGTAAATTTCAGATCCCGTCACAGTTTGGCTGTGCATTGGGGCCCACTCTGTGGACTACACGGCATCCATTCCCAGGCTGAGAACTTGCACGAGCCTTTCTCTTGACGGGCCCTTTCCAATGGAAAGTATGGCAGTTAATTTTATGAACATTTCCCATTGGGTGGGGAAGAATCTGTGAACTGTGAAGTCCAGTTGATGCGGTACCAGAACTCTTCGACTTCATGAAGAAAGAGTCAAGGAGAGGGGGGTCTGGCTGGCTCAGTCTGTGAAGCGTGCAGCTCTTGATCTCGGGGTTTTGAGTTTGAGCCCCACTTTGGGTATACAGATTACTTAAAAACTGAGAAAAAAATATCTTTAAAAAAGACTCAAGGAGAACTCCGGTGAGCATCTTGCCGCAGAAGGACTCGGCAAGGAGAATCCAGGGCTTCCTCACAAAAATGGAATTGGGGAAATGGAAAGTGAAGAAGCTCAAGCTGGTGGTAGGGAGAAGAGCATATGCGTGTTACTATTACCCGTGGTTGTCTTCTTGAGTTCCTTCATGCCTAGGAGGCTACTCCTCACCTAAAAACCAGAGTTTCCTTTAACTCAGTCACAGCTCAGCCTCCACCCTCCAATTGACCTTTTTCACAGTTGTGTCAGCTACATCTCGATGTGATGTTGTAGCTCCCGGTTGGTTCTGGTTAGATGCCCTCTCAGATATAAGCAGCCTAAAAGCAACACCTGACTCCTTTCTTGTTACTTCCCCACAGCACTGAGTTCAGTGTTTTTTTTCTAAGGTAGATATTCAGTCATGAGGCAGTGAGCATAAAAATGCCTCGCCATATAATGACACCCAATAAATCTTTCTTTAGTTAATGATTCTCCTTAAGCTCTATGTAAAAACAAAAAAATCGGGAATGCTGAGCTTTTCATCTCCACTTACACTGAGGCTTCCGTTGTCTTGCAGAATAGATACGTTGGATATTTTGCAGATGTGAAAAATATCTACAACTTGAGTCTCCCTCCAAGAAAAACACTCAAGATCAAAAAATTCATTATTTATTCAATTCACGGTAAGTGCTTTACGTACAATTGAAGAATTGAGCAGGAAGGGGGGAGATGTTCTTAGTTTTCAGGTGCGGGAAGGGTTGCTCCCAGCTTATCTGTACAGATGATCCCAACATGGCCGTCCTCTTATCCATCTCACACATGCACCCCTCCCCCGGGAAGAACCCAACAGCCCTTACATGTCCTGTCTTTTCCTTTCCCATCACGGACTGGGGGACCCCGTCCCCTTCCCGTTTCTCAGCCCAGGGTGGACTGTTCAGAATAGGCTCTCTGATGGAGAAGACAGGAAGGGCCCAAGAGCCCGAGACTGCCTCTTCCTCGTGCCCACCGCTAGTTCAGGGTTCAGGTTGGCAGAGGCACCGTGTACCATTTTCTCACGTGCTCCTTTCAGAGACCCTTGTCTCATCACAGTGGTTTCTCTCCTCCTCCATCCATAGCCCTTCTCCCCCCCCCCCCCCCCCCCCCCCGGCAAGTCAGGATGTCTTCTGTGTCTTACATACCCAAAGATGTCTGAAATGCTAAAAAAAAAAAAAAAAAAAAAAAAATGAATGAATTTTGTTGCCACAAATTCTTTTTTTATGAATAACTACCAATTGCCTGCTTCGGGCCAGGCCCCATGCTAGTGTTTCTCTACCCTTAAGAAGGAGAGGAATGACTACGTATAGATAAAAAGCTGAGCACAGTGTCGGGGGCACACAGAGACTGGGCCCTGCCCCCTGGGGGTCGAGGAAGGCTCCTGGAGCACCTAGGTCTTCCCTACCTGAATCCACCTGAACACAGAAAGGGCTGGGAGACACCTGGGCGCTATGGGGGTATCTTTCAGCCCCCCCTAACTCTTATCAGTTATGCCCAGAAGTAAAAATCCTTGTAAATTTTAAAAGAGCTGACTCTTCGCCCGCTTCAGGAATGTCAGGAGAGCCTGGGATCCGCCATCACCCCAGGCAGGCAGGAGAACTGGTCAGATAGTCTGACTCTGGGGCTTGAGAAAGGATGAGCAGGGGACAGGGGTGGGGATGGGGGGGGTCCTCACTCCTGCTGCCACTGGTGTAGCAGGGGGCGATGCTCTGCCTCCCCAAAGTCAGATTGTGGACCGTGCGGAGCGGCTGGGTCTCTCCTGATTGGTACGGTGCCAGGGTATTGGCATCCATCCAGACAGCCTAGTATATTTAGCTGTCCAGGGAGTCACACAAAATAAGATCTAGATTTTTTTTTTTTTTACATTTCATCCAGTTATTCAGACATAAAAGAACCCTTTAAAATATATTTTAAAAACTGCATAATCAGAGAAACACGGTTCCTTAAAGTACAAAATGCTCTTTTCCAATTACTTCTGTGTCCCTTCCTCCCCGCCACCCACATAGAGGTGGCAGGGAGGAATTTTGATGGATTACCACAAACAGACCGCATAGGCTTCTGGCTTGTGAAAATAGATGTCCACCCAGAGGCCCTGTTTCTGTGGGAAATTTGAGTCTAGGCTTCCAAACAAGCATTGTGCAGGCAGACCCGTGAAACACAGCCCGTTCTAGAAGAAGGCTGTTGTGTATATGAAATGAGCAACTGTTGGTGGAGAGTTTTGCAGACTGCGAAGTCCTCTGCAGAGGCCATTGTGACGGTTCCACAGGCTGCGTGTGAATGAGGAGGGACCCTACTGGCTGACCTCACTCAGAACCCCGGGTGCCGTGAGGCCTCCCCAGGGGACACCAGGTTTATCCAACAGGTGTCAGAAGGTGGGGGACAGCAGCACATTCCTCTGTGGGGCCCTGCAGAAAGAGTGGACTGCTTTTTTCTGCAGCAGGAGAAGCAACTCGGTCAGCCATTGGAGCAGTTTCTTCCACTGAGAAATAGAAACCCAACGATAAATCCAACTCCGTGGCATGAGAGCCAGTATTGCATCTGTGTGTATATTCTGCTTCAGTTTCCTCTTTGTTAACAATGGGACCCACAGTACCTACACAAACCTCTGTGTTAAACTGTTCCAAACAGGCAAATAGGCATTTAGTTCAGTGGAGTTTTAATATATTTTTCTAACATGAGGGGCACCTGGGTGGCTTAGTCGGTTGAGCGTCCGACTTTTGCTTAGGTCATGATCTAGAAGTTAGTGGGTTAGAGCCCCGCGTCAGGCTCTGTGCTGACTGCCAGCTCAGAGCATGGAGCCTATTTCGGAGTCTGTGTCTCCCTCTCTCTCTGACCCTCCCCTGCTCACGCTGTCTCTCTCTCTCCTAGAAATAAATAAAAATATTTTAAAATATATATATATTTTTCTAACATGAATAGTGAGGATGGGATTTGTTTCTCAAAACTCTAAGCTTAAAAGTATTTTAGGGGCTCCTGAGTAGCCCAGTTGATTAAGTGTCAGACTTTTGATTTTGGCTCAGGTCATGGTCTCATGGTTTGTGAATTTGAGCCCCACTTCGGGCTCTGCACTGACAGCTTGGAGCCTGCTTGGGATTCTCTCTCTCTCTCTCTCTCTCTCTCTCTCTGCTTTTCCCCCATATGCATTCCCTCTCTCTTTCTCTCAAAATAAACATTTTTAAATATTATAAAGGCTTTGGGGCACCTGGGTAGCTCAGTCGGTTAAGCGTCTGACTTCTGCTCAGGTCACAATCTCATGGTTTGTGAGTTCGAACCCTGCGTTGGGCTCTGTGCTGACAGCCAGCTCAGAGCCTGGAGCCTGCTTCAGATTCTGTGGCTCCCTCTCTCTCTGACCCTCCCCTGCTTGCACTCTTGTCTCTCTCTCTCAAAAATAAATAATTTTTAAAAAATTATAAAGGTTTCAAATAAATTCTAGAATTTCATATGTTTCTCAGTCTGATATGATTTCCTAAGACTGTGACTTCTCTGTTAATATTTTAAATTTTAGATGAGCTCTGTGGAAATGTTGTGTAGTTAAAACTGTAAGGTGCAAATGTGAACAGAGGAGCTAAGCCAAATGTAGGAGCTCTTCAGGGGAAAAGTGGTGGAGAATTTCACGGGTTTGGTTTGCTAGTCTTGGGCTAACATAGATTATAAACGTCCAGTTTAAGATTCTTCATGCAGACTTCCAGACAAAGTTGCAACATTAGCAGCTGTTCATACAATGTGGATCCAGCCTTGCAGACCCGCCCTAAGAAGGCCTATATGGAAAGTCAATGTTCTTTCTGCTCTCATGTAAATAATCAGGCCACAGCTAATGACACCGGCCTTCTTTTGTTATTTTGTTTGTTTGTTTTATTTTACTTATTATCATCTGCCTGTCCTTCAAGCCATATCCTCTAGGCTAAGAAGTTCTGTTAGCGCTTGGGGTTGGAGACGCTCAGTGCCCCATCAAGATCCCTTGGGTCCCCTCTACCAGCTCTGGGGTCCCACCCGCAGCTTCCACTCCCTTTGCTATCCTCTTCAGAGAATTACCACTGGAGCCAATTCACCTATATGGAACCAAAAATGGCTGGGAGTGACACCACCCTGTTGGGCAGCCCGTAGGCAATGACTAGCAGGTATACAAAAACTTCACTCCAGTGCTTCAAAGTGTGACAAACTCTGCACTAAAGAATTCCCCAGGGATCAAGGTGAATCTGTTGCTTGAAATCCCTCCCTTCCATGGCTCTCATGAGTTCCTCTGAGGAATGCTTCCTTGGTAAATCACTAGCACCTTAATGGTTGGCTCAGGGCCCAATTCTGGGAGAACTCAAACTATGGCTGCCCATTTGCTTTTTATCAAGGTGTATTTGTAATGCTATATTTACTCAGTCTAAGTCAGGGCATATACTCTGTATTGCAAATTGCATAAGGACGGAGATCATTATCCATTCATCTTTGAAACCCTCAGGCCATAACACATACTTGGAGCTCAGTAAATCTCTGTTGACTTGAACTAAAATGTCTCTGGCATATCTCACTACACCATCTCCATCCCTCATCATCCACTTCTCTGATTTTATCCCTACCTCTCTGTCCTTCCATAAATTATCTCCAGCATCACTGGCTTTCTTCTTCATTTTTTTTTTTTTTTTGTTGTTGCCATTCTTTTATAGTAACAAGTCTTGGACTTCTACATGTTGTCTCTCATTTTTATTTTAAAAAAATTTTTAATGTTTTTAAAAATTTATTTCTGAGAGAGAGAGAGAGAGAATGAGCAGGGGAGGGTTAGAGAGAGAGGGAGACACAGAATCTGAAACAGACTCCAGGCTCTGAGCTGTCAGCACAGAGCCCTACGCGGGGCTTGAACCCACAAACCATGAGATCATGACCTGAGCCAAAGTCGGAGGCTTAACCGACTGAGCCACCCAGGCGCCCCCTCCTTATTTTTATAAACTTTTTCTTGGGGTGCCTGGTTGGCTCAGTCAGTAGAGCATACATTTGCTTTTGGGGTTGTGAATTCGAGTCCCACATTGGGTATATAAATTACTGAAAAATAAAATCTTTTTTTAAAAAAGTAAACTTTTTATTGAAGTATACTTGACACAAAATGTTACATTAGTTTTAGACCTATGACCTAGTGATTTGACAAGTCTTTATGTTATGTTCACCACAAGCATAGCAACTGTCCATCATACACACTATTACAATATCACTCAATGTATTTCCTATGCTGTACCTTTTATCCCCATGACCTATTCATTACGTAACTGGAAGCCTGTATCTCCCACTCTCCTTCACCTAATTGTTCATCTCACCACCTGTCTCCCCTCTGGCAACCACCAATTTGTTCTCTACATTTACAGGACTGGCTGTGCTTTTTTGTTTGTTTGTTCATTTGTTTGTTTTTTAGATTCCACATGTAAGTAAATCCATATAGTATTTGTCCTTTTTTGTCTGATTTATTTCACTTAGCCAAATACCCTCTAGGTCCATCCATGGTGTCACAAATGGCAAAAATCTCATTCTTTTTATGGGTAAGTAATATCCCGTTGTATTTATATTCACTTCTTCATTCTTCTATCAGTGGATATTCGAGTAGCTTCCATATCGTGGCTATTATAAGTAATGCTGCAATAAACATAGAGGTGCAGCTATCTTTTCAAATTACTGTTTTTGTCTTCTTTGGGCAAATACCTGGTAGTGCAATTACTGGGTCATATGGTATTTGCATTTTTCATTTCCTGACGAACCTCAATAATACGGTTTTCCACAGTGGCTGCACCAATTTACATTCCAACCAGCAGTGCACAAGTGTTCCTCATTCTCCACATCCTTGCCAACACCTTTTATTTCTTTTTATTTTAGCCATTCTGACAGGTGTTAAGTGATCTCTTATTGTGGTTTTGATAAACATTTCTGTCGTGGTTATTGAGGTTGAGTACCTTTTCATGTGTCACCCATCTGTATGTCCTCTATGGAAAATGTCTACCCAGGTCCTCTGCCCACCATTAAATTGGATTATTTGGTTTTTTGGTGTTGAGTTTTATAAGTTCTTTATATTTGGATATTAACTCCTTATCAGATATATCATTTGAAAATATTGTCTCCCATTCAGGAGGTTGCCTTTTCAATTTGTTGATGGTTTCTTTCACTGTGCAAAAGCTTACCTTGGAGAAGTCCCAATAGCTTATGGTTCCTTTTGTTTCCCATACTGGAGAAGACATATCTAGAAAAATGTTGCTAGGGGCACCTGGGTGGCTCAGTTGGTTAAGCCTCTGACTTCAGCTCAGGTCATGATCTCACAGTTCATGGTTTCGAGCCCTGCATAGATAGAGCTCTGTGCTGACAGCCAGCTCAGAGCCTGGAGCCTGTTTCAGATTCTGTATCTCTCTCTCTCTGACCCTCCCCTGCTCATGCTGTCTCTTTCAGGAAAAAAAAATGTTAAAAAAAAAAAAAAAAGAGAGAAAAGAAAAATGTTGCTAAGGCAACCTAAGGTCAACCTGAAAGGAAAAAACCTGCAATCTAGAGTACTCTAGCCAGCAAGGCTATCATTCAGAAGGAGAGTTAAAAATTTCCCAAACAAAAGTTAAAGGAGTTCATTACCACTAAACCAGCCTTACAAGACATGTTAAAAGGAATTCTTTGAGTGGATAAAAAGACCATAATTAAAAGTAAGAAAATTATGACAGGAAAAACTTTCACAGGTAGATGAAAACATACAATAAAGGTAGCAGATCAATCATAAAACCAGGATAGAGGTTAAAGCACAAAAGCAGTAAAATCAATTATGTCTATAAAAATCAGTCAAGGGATTTGTGAAATAAAAGGATATAAAGTATGACATGTACATAAAGCATGGGTGGTAAAAAGTAAAAATGTATTGCTTTTAGAATGGGTTCAAACTTAAGCAACCATGAACTTAATATAGACTGCTCTGTGTATAAAATGTTATATATGAGCCTACTAGTACTCACAAATCAAAAACATGCAATAGAAATGCAAAAAATAGAAACAAATCCAAGCATAACAGTAAAGAAAACCATCATACCACAAGGGAAGAGAGCAAGAGAAGAAAGGAACAGAGAAAAATTACAAAAATACAGCCATAACCAGTAACAAAATGGCAATAAGTATATACCTAAGAGCAATTACTTTCAATGGACTAAATGCTCTAATCAAAAGACATGGGGTGACTGAATGGATAAGAAAGCAAGACCCATCTATATGCTGCCTACAAGAGGCTCACTTCAGACCTAAGACACGTGCAGACTGAAAGTAAATAGATGGAAAAACATTTACCATGCAAACAGAAGCAGGAAAGAAAGCCAGGGTAACAAAACTTAGACAAAATAGACTTTAAAACACAGATGGTAGCTAGGAACAAGGACACTAAATGATAAGGGAATAATCCAACAAGAGGCTATAGCTGTAAACATGCACCCAACATAGGAGCATCTAAATACAAAAAGCAGCTACTAACAGATCTAAAGAAAGAAATAGACAGTAACACAATAATAGTAAGGGACTTTACACCCCATTGACATTAATGGATAGATCATCCAGACAGAATATCAACAAGGAAACCGTGGACCTGAGTGATCATTGGACCAGATGGATCTAATATATACTCAGGACATTCCATCCCCAAACAGCAGAATACACATCATATTCAAGTGCACATGGAACATTCTCCAGAATGGACCGTGTTAGGCCACAAAACAAAGCACAATAAATTCAAAAAGACTGAAATCCTATCATGCATCTTTTCTGACCACAATGGTATAAAACTAGAATCAATCACGAGGAAAAAACTTAACACAAATACATGGGGGCTAAATAATATGCTACTAAATAATGGGTCAACCAAGAAATGAAAGAGGAAATCAAAAAATGGAGACAAATGAAAATAAAAACACAACAGTCCCAAATCCTACAGATGCAGCAAAAGCTCTTCTAAGACGTGAGATTATAGCAATACAAGTCACCTCAAGAGCAAGAAAATCTCAAGAAACCTAACCTTATACTGAAAGGAGTTAGAAGAAGAGGAACAAAGCCCGAAGCTAGCAGAAGGAAAGACATCATAAAGACTAGAAAAATAAATGATACATAAACTAAAAACACAATAGAACAGATCAATGAAACCAGGAGCTGGCTCTTTGAAAAGACAAAAAATAAAATAAATTTTTAGCTTCCAGTCTTACAAATTGTGCTTTAGGAGACAAAGTTGGGCTTGAAGCTTTGTCTTTTAAAGACAGAATTCATGCAAGACCCAAATGATTCAGTATTGACACACTGTGAGTTGGAATGATTTTCTCTTTTTAAACCATAATGTTAATTGCTAAGACGTTCTGATCTTTGCTCTAACCAGCCTAATTTTATTTCTTTCAGGTGTTGGAAATGGTAATGGAAATGATCTAAAAGTACAAATAATGATGCAGCACAAGACTGTCTTTTTAAGTTCTGCTTCCAAAAACTGTTGGGTAAGAGCATGTAAACTGAAAATTGTGGCGTTTGTATTAAATCTCGATGTCAAATCAGCATGTTGACCTCTCCAGACCAACACTCACCACAAAGAAAGACCTTGCTGTTTCTGGTTGCCATCCAACTTGTATCCCTTGGTTCGGATACAAGTCGGTGCACAGTTAAACTCATTATTCAAAATAGTCTTTTCAGGGCACTTTCCAAAATATCTTTTCAGTTCAGAGTGTTGCCTTGCCTTTCCTTTTCCCACAATGCCAAGCATGTTCTCTGAAGTTATCAGAGTTTTCAATTCACGTCTTTTTTAGCTAAATTTTTTTCTTGGTCATTTTGTAATATGGTACTGATTCTGAAATTTTAATATGCATGCAAATCACCTCCAAGCTTATAAAGATGGAGACGCCTAGACTGTTCCCCAGAAATATGATTCAGGGAATCTGGGACGGAGCCCAGGAATCTCTGGGGTTAGCAGTCTCCCAAGTGATTCTCTCTCATATGTCCCATGGGTCTGCACTGTGAAAAGTAACCTGCGTGGCTGGGGGATGTAGCTCTTTGCCCAAAAGCAATGGGACGTCCTTTAAATGTTGAAGAGATGCCTATGATTACCAACCTTTCCTGAAGCAATAAGAACCGTTCCTGGATCTAAGAAACAATAAACTCTTAGAGTTCTCTCGCAAGCTCGCCTCTATTCTCATATCCCTTCTCCAGCAACACTCCTTCCGCACCCAGACCTGATACTTGGCTTTCTGTTCTTACCTCTCCACATACGCTACCCTTGGCTCCGCTCATCCATTCCCCTGCTTTATATAGTTTTTTCTTTCATCCACTCAGCACATAGTTATGAGCAGCTACCATGGGGTAGGTGCAGGGCCTAGAACGTGGACAGTGTCTGCCCCAACAATCCAACCACGTTTGTCAAACCACATTCGTCAAATGAGCTTTTCCTCTGCTTCTGCAAATGACACCAGAGCTCTCTTGCTCAGGCTTTAACATTTAGCAGTGTCTGTGGTTTTCTCGTTGCTGTGCCTGCACATCCAGTCACTGATTCCTGGCGATTATACCCTGGGAATCTCTCTTCCCTCTCTCCGTTCCTTTATGTTCCCGTTGCCAGCACCTCGTTTGTTCATGCCCAGATTTCCACAATGGTCTCCCTACTTTTCTTTCCCCCTCATACAATATAGTATGTAGAGTCCTGTAATATGCAGGATTTCATTGCTCTTACTGTAGAGCATAAGACACACTGTGTGCCTGTAAGTCAAAGCCAGTTAATATCTTTGGCTCAGTATTATCTGTAAAATAAAGATCACATATCTTTATTTTGAGGATTAAATTACATAAGATATGTGAAGTTGCTTTGGGAGCTATAAATCACTAAGTACATGTTATATATGATCATCATCAGGCCCCTTTGTCACATAGAAAATGCCCCCCCCACCCCCAATTCTTCAACTTTGTCCTTATTTCCCTGGCTCTTGAACCTTAGCCCTAACATACCTGAGACCTGAGCTTATTTCCATCAGTTACTTGACCTGTAGACTCTATTCCAAGTAGCCTGGGTGTCCTCTAGACACTGGAACACAACACTCTTAATTTCTGCTTCACATTTTTGCTGGTCTTTCCTCTCCCTCTCCCACACCACCATGCTTGCACTGGATTCCCTCTTCAGTGCTCCTCATTTATAACATCCCTCCATTCCTAACTGTCTCTACCTCCTCTGTGAAGCTTTCTCACTTTATGCTTCTTGTTGACCTCCCCAAAGCACACAGCCACACACAGTCCTCACCATCTAGCTTGACATGTAAGTCATGCCATTCTGTTGTTTCTTGTGTGTGTAGCTCCCTGAGGCATGCCCTGAGTGTGCGTCTTCTTTTCTATTTTGCACAGGTCCTTGCATAGATTTTTCTCATTGTGGGGTCCACTATTGTACAAGGGTAATCAGTAACAAAGAAATACTTAGTATAGCTTCAAAAAGGTCCTTCATTCCAAAAACTTGGCCAATCCTTGGTCACTGCATCAGAGCAGTCAGCTCTGGACAAGACCCATGATCATGATCCCATCAGCAAACACCTTTTTGATAAAACATGACCACTTATGTATTGCTTTTTGAATGTGAAGGCCAGCTCTAAGACCAAGCTACCTGGCATATGCCACCCAAGTGGCACACACTCTCAACAGTCATGTTTACGTGGTTAAACTCCAAGGGAAAAGGGAAGGCTTCCTTCTTTACCACTGCCCCACCATGGCCTCCAAACATGTTGGCCTTTTAAAAATATAACAGTATTGCAACTTTATAGAAATAAGGATTCACATTACATGTAGTGACTGGGCTATGAGACCAAGGGTACTTGATAAAATACAGGAAGCCTTGGTACGTGACCATGAGCTTCACTGTTCTCTTACCAGCGGTCTTTAAGGTCGTGAATTCCATGTGTTCATTCACAGATACTTCACAATATTGAAACAGACAGCGTAATAATTCATTTATCCAACTCTCCACCTCTGTACGATGATGTGAAAGTGAGGTTTCTTTCTTCCTCAGTGAGTAATCAAGAAACAACCTAGGCCATTATTATCGTCTGAATTATTCTGCTTTAGGATTTTCTCTGCTACAATTTGATATAGGATACGGGATGTCAAGCCCTGGCCAGGGAGGGGGAGAAAAGCAAGTGAGATTCATAACAAAATTAAAAAAAAATTTTTTTTTAATGTTTTTATTTTTGAGACAGAGACAGAGCATGAGAGGGGGAGGGGCACAGAGAGAGAGGGAGACACAGAATCCGAAGCAGGCTCCAGGCTCTGAGCTGTCAGCACAGAGCCCAATGCGGGGCTCGAACCCACGAACCATGTGATCATGGCCCGAGCTGAAGTCAGAGGCTTAACCGACTGAGCCACCCAGGCACCCCCATAACAAAATTTTTAAGAAGAACCTAGGTAAACTGGGTTTTGCTTATTTTTTCTAAATTCTATACAATTTGCATATATCTTCAAATAAGAAAAATACCAAGGTATGTTTACTGCATTGCAGTGACCGCATTTTTGTTTTGTAGCTCTAAAACACATTGTTCCCCGTAATTTATACTTTACAGTGTTGAAAGCATCTTTCAACAAATGTCTTTTTTCCTTAAGGTAGCAGTGTTTATAAATTTATGTGTATGTTCAACTGTGTGAATCCATACTGTGTAGAAAGCATCCTTGAATAACATCTTTCTTTAATTAGAAGTGTTTGTCATAGAGAACTGAGGGTTCTGGAAGGGAGGTGGGTGAGCAATGCACTAAATGGGTGATGGACATTAAGGAGGGCACTTGTTGGATGAGCACTGGGTGTTACATAGGTGATGAATCACTAAATTCTGCTGAAACCTATTTTACCATATATGTTAACTAGAATTTAAAAAAACTTGGGGGGAAAGATTTTTACTTTCCTTTAGATTGACATAGAATTCATTTTAAATGTATTTTTTTTTTTAAAATTTATTTCTAGGAGAGCGAGAGAGAGACAGCATGAGCAGGGGAGGGTCAGAAAGAGAGGGAGTCACAGACTGAAACAGGCTCCAGGCTCTGAGCTGGCAGTCAGCACAGAGCCCGACGTGGGGCCCGAACCCACGAACCGCGAGATCGTGACCTAAGCGAAAGTCGGACGCCCAACCGACTAAGCCACCCAGGCGCCCCTTAAATGTATTTTTTTGAGAGAGACAAAGCACAAGTGAGGGAGGGGCAGAAAGAAAGGGAGAGAGAGAATTCCCAGCAGAGTCAGCATGATCCCAGTGCAGAGTCCAACTTGGTGCTTGAACCCATGAACCTATGAGATCATGACCTGAGCTGAGCCAAGTCAGAGACTTAACCCATTAACCCAGGCACCCCCAAAATAGTATTTTTAATCCAATATTTGCCTTACAGAAAATGAGAATGTTTGCCATGGTCATTACTCTGAATATCATGAGTGTATAATTTATATTGAGCAGTCATAAAGTGTAGCAGTGTTATTCTCTATGTAACAAATTTCTAAGCCATGGTAGTTTCATTTTCCTATTAAAATCACCAAGCAGAACTGCCAAGTAACTATGTCGATCAGTTTCAGTGTGTATCCTGTGCCCTCCTTCACGGCCTGCTCGCTCCCTGTTGTGGGAGAAATCTCAGTACTGAAAACAGTATCTGTGTTGAAGCAACTGGCCCACGCTGCACGGCTACCCTTTGAATAATGAAGCCAGTCTGACCTCTCTCTCAATCGGTGGTCTCTAAGCAGAAGCACTGGTACAAGCAGTGTTGGTCATTTTGTGATTTTCAAGGGCCAGGAGATGAAAACACTTTCAAAATGCTTAGGTGTTTGTATCATCACCAGCAATGAAAATTATCAATGTAGCTGCTCCTTGTAGAAATAATGATCTCTTTGGGCATAAACGGGTATAGGTCTGTGTTGAGCACCAAACTATATTAGAAGACTATTGTTTAAGTTTATAAGTATAGAAAAAATTATATTTCCTTAAATTTTGATAGAAACTGCCATTTTTTTTCTTAAAGTTTATGGTTAAGTTGGTTTACATATAACACCCAGTGCTCATCCCCACAAGTGCCCTCCTCTGTGCCCATGGAAACTGCCATTTCTTAAAGCCTCTTCCTATGTGTCGTGGCTACAGTCGTTTGACGAATATAGAAAATAAAGGAATTTTAATTCCTTTGGAATTAGCTTTTGGCTTCAATTTTACTATGAAAAATAACTTTTTTTTAAATTTTAGGTTCTTCCTAAATACTATGACAACTGCCCATTTTTCTTCTGGTTCCATACATCTTTTATACAAAATAACAGGTATGGCTCAGATCTAATCCAGGAGAAACAGCTTACTCCTCAAGGTCGGTGTAAGGTGCAATGGCAAACCTTTTGCTGATTGCCATACACTCAGTTTACAGAAACCAAGAAATCCTCAAATCCCCCAATTCTTCACTGCCTTTCGTCTCTTAATCTGGTTATGTAAGATCTATGGCTATTCTTGGGAACTGCTGCTGCATTATCCTCAAGGTCCAGGCCATGGGACTGTGTCACAGAAGTTAAAACGGGCTCTAATCAGCTGTGGAGGAGGGCAGAATCCCTCCCATGCACGTCCAGCAGGAGTCTGCTCAGTTACCCTGTGGCAGGGCCTCCCGATGTGCTCATTTACCGATGACCGACCACCCACCAAATTCTGTGTCAAAAAGGCAGGCATCATCGAGGGAGGCTTCAGCTGGTTTAAAGACGACTGACCTACTTAGAATTAGAAGTTAGAAGACAGAGTGAGCATCAATAAAGACCACTTTTTTAAAAAGTCAATAGTCTCCCATTTAAAAATGGTTTTCTTGGGGCACCTGGGTGGCTCAGTTGATTCAGCATCTGACTCGACTTCGGCTCAGGTCATGATCTCGCAGTTTTGTGAGTTCAACCCCTCATTGGGTTCTGTGCTGACTGCACAGCCTGCTTGGGATTCTCTCTCTGCCCCTCCCCTGCTCTCAAAATTAAAAAAAAAAAACCCAAAAACTTTCCCAGTTTACTTATTAGAAAATCATTTCTAAGCTTATTTTTTTTAAACTGTATTATTTTGAGAGACAGTGTGAGTGGAGGAGGGGCAGGAAGAGAGGGAGACAGAGTCCCAAGCCGGATCCGCACTGTCAGCGCAGAGCCCACTGTGGGGCTCAACCCAGGAACCAGGAGATCACGATCTGAGCCGAAACCAAGTCAGGGGCTTCACCAACTGAGCCACCCAGGAAACTTCTTCTAAAAAAAATTATTAACTGAAGATTATTATTCCAGGAAACTTCTACCCTCTCTGGAAATTCATTCCTGAGTCTAGATGTTCTCTAGAATTCTAGTTCTCTAGTACTTTAAGGAGTATTTGTTCTTTGGTGCTGAAAATTTGAGATGTATTGTTATCACCATACCATCCATCATCCAATACTAAAAGGGAAAAATATTCCAGAAATGCGCGTTTTGAGGGAGCTGTGATGGCATGTGGCATCAATCAATTCATCCCAGCCTTTTCTTCTAATCTGAACTATATCTCCTCACCCCTCGAGTCCAGTAAAGGCAGACGTAAATTGAACATCTGGTCTACATACTTCTGATACACCTATTTAATGGATAGAGTGAACTTTGGACTTGATGGAGAATTTTTACCAATTTTCCCCTGGGTGTATACAAACTTTGACTCCTAACATGAGCAAAGTCCCTCATCGACCTCTGGGTGGAACTTCATGGTTTTTTCCTTTAAAACACATCAATCATATTGCAGAGGCAACAAGTTAGAAACCTATAAAAGTGAGGAGAAAAGTGATTTAATTTTCCCCACTGCTTGGTATAGCTGTTTTATTAGTTATGAGGTGGTTAATTGGTCAAAAATGCCACTGTCCTCATTTAAACAGCTCACTATTTTATTACTTGGTTTTAACTCACATCTAGTCTCTCTGGATGATTTCCTATGGCAGCTTGTTTTACTAAAGTCAAATATTAATTTCATAAAAGGCAACGTGAAAAGAATCAGTGATGTGTAGTTACTGATTAAGATTTGGCTGGCTGTGAGGCGGGGGTAGCTGGCTCAAGGGGAACAAATGGAGATGCAGGACAGGGTGGAGATTAACCGTGACAGGTGGGTCTCCTTTGGACCCTTCTGGGCTCAAAACGATGTTTTCTTCTCTTCTAGGCTATATCTTTCAAGAAATGAATTGGATAATCCCCATAAACAAAAAACATGGAAAATTTACCGTCCAGAGTTTGCAGTGGAGGTATATTTTGATGAAGTCGTAGCTGGTACGTGATTAAGCGTAGTTCCCTTTCTAGGACAGAATCATGTTCTTCACAATCCCTGTCACATGTATCTTCTAAACCGCCTTCCTTGCTGGCATACTTTTATTTACATTCATGTAGATATGTTTTTGCAAAGCCTATTAAATATATACAAAGTAAAATGTCACGGATGCTTTTTACTTTCTGAAGGAGTTAGGTCCTGTTTGAGAGAACTAATGTTCCTCTGTGCTATGTTCCAAATTATCACTTTGAAGAACTTTAAAGATTTGCTATTTCAAAGTATTTAAAAATTATGATTTCTCCCAATACTGTGAGTTTATCTAAAAATACGAGTATTCCCTGCTTTTATATTTGTAAGTTCAGATCAGAAAGGTCCTTTCTGTTTTCTTCCTCCACTTTATTTGTAAACTATTTAACAAACATCAGACTGGCACCAAGATTTGTTTTCAACCCAGAGAACGGTGCACACAGAAGAGCCACCGGTGCCTGGGCCACAGGCTTCCTTAAATACACACGCAGACTTCGGGGAGGGCACCGGGCTCCCGGTAAACACAATAAGTTACTGAAGATTCTTTATCTTTTTTACCACCAACCTCCCAAGTGAAGTCAAAGGAAATGTTTGCCTAGAGAAATCTAGATTGTTTTAAAGTCCACCCCCCTCCTCGCAGCAAGTTCACTTCAGTTCAGGGACTCTGTGAAGGAAGGTCATCTTTGCATTGTAAGTATTGGTTAGTCCTGTGTTCCCAGGGAATCGTTTTCTCTTTTGCTATTTTACTCTAAGTACCTTCACTGTCATGGCACCTTGATTGTCCTTATTTATGGACATGGTGCACTTTTTCCCTCCGGCCAGCCCACAAGGGGTCCCAGCCGCCAGTGCAGCAAGCTACGCAAATGCTAATTACTCTGCTCCTCTTGAAGGACGGGGTTTCAAGTTCTTAAGTTCTTAACATGTTAGGACTACATCACATCCTGTAATTTGTTACAGAAATCTGTTACAGCAGAACAGCTTGTAATGTTTCCTTTAATTTTTTTTAAATGTATGTTTACTTTAGGGAGAGAGAGTATAAGCAGGGGAGGGGCAGAGAGAAAGACAAAATCTGAAGCAGGTTCCAGGCTCTGAGCTGGAGCACGAAGCTCAAACTCACCAACTGCAAAATCATGACCTGAGCTGAAGTCGGACACTTAATCAGCTGAGCCACCCAGGTGCCTCTGTGCGGTTTCCTTTGAAATCCATGCAGCAGTAGGCTACGGCGGGCAGATCAGGCGGCTGGCTCAGGTCAATGGGAAGATACCTAGCGGGCTCAGTGAGGCGTAGTAAGGTCTAGACTTTTCAGTACGTACAAGAAGGAAGGAAGGAAACCCCCATGAAGACTCCTGCTTTTTGAAATAAGATTGTAGCTGGGGTTTCTCTTCGCTGAGATGCATCAAAATTCCTGGCCATTAGGAGTTGCCACACTATTGTGCTTTTACTCCTATAAAGAGAATTTATGGGAGGTTTCTGTCTTAGAACCCAATATAAACACTTCCTTTGAACAAGCTGAGAAACTTATGTCATAATATGTCAGGATGATGCCATTTGTCTTAAGTAGAATTTACTAACCTGGAATAGAATTATCCACAACTGAATAGCAAGTTTAACTATCTTTACAAAATAGAACCGCATCCTGCACATCACAGACCCGGTCTGGCAGAGGGAGATTAAGGCTACTGGGCCCAAGTTTCACAACTGCAGTATACAGACAGAACACCTATTTTCTGTCAATGTATTTACAGTGAAATTATTTCACATCAGGAATAGTGCTGATGACAAAAAATGCTCATTGCAATGAAACCACCACCTTGAAGCATTACTATGCTCTTAAACATTCCCAACAGCTGGTTCTTAGCATGCAAAATATTTAAAACAACTCATCATATACTCAAATTTTAGGTAAATAATTTAATGATAGTAGAACACCAGAGTTGCTTTAAACACACGATTTCAAGTTACTATATTTGGAGTACAGATCTGAAATGGTACAAATTGTATTCAAATACTAAACCATGAATTAAGCAAATAGAATGGGAAAAAAATTTCCCGATTTGGGTTTCATTCCTCACTCTTACTTTTCCTTGGACTCCTGCTACTGCAGATATTTAGTTGAATCGTAAAAGGACAATATATGAGAAGGTCCCGTGCCAAAAGGCCTAACTCAGATGGGCTCACGGGCACCAGGCAGGGGCTCGTGGATTCTGAAGTAGCTCACTTCCTTCTAGAAGCCAGCCCCACTTTCTGTTTTGCTTCGGTCCAGGCCCATTCTGATGAAGCACCACTCAGTAGCTACGGACCATTTAAGGTATGCAGAGAAAAGGTAGGAAAATGATTTTCTTTCAAAGAAAACGCAGATGGCCAACCCGCCCTCGCTCCAGAGTACATCAGGCACAGCACGGAGCACCCCTCCCCAAACGTCCACAGTAGCTCCCCACCCCTCCGTGGTGGGGGGGAGGGCACATCTCCCTTCCCTGACCCTCCTTCTCTGGGCACGCACAGAGGCTTTGTAGAACACAGAGCTTAAGGAAACCGGAGGTTTCACACAAGGCTTCCACTGGGCTAATGACAGACACACGAGACAGACACAGGTCGGCCTGCTGGCTTTCAGACTTACAGGCGGCTTAAGCACACACATTACTGAGAGAGTCCTTGCTGGTCACGGGGCAGCACGGAATGACGGGGCTTGCCTACGTGGTGACAAGGAGCCTCTTAGCCCGGGTGACCTGGGCTTCTGCGGGGGTTGTTAGTGCATACATATGGCAGAACTTAATTGCTCAGCTTGTTTTGTTGCTTTAAAAAGCCCCCCCACCCCCCAATATATAATCATGAAAATGCACCGACTGCTGGTACCAAATGTAAAAGGCTCCAACACCGTAGGGGACATGGCGAGCAGTTACAGATCCTAAGATGAACTTCAGAAAGGGCCAGCCTGACCTCTCTCACTGTGGAGGATATGCACTAGGTTCTGTCCAGTTCCACTGGAGGGAGGACTTCGCCCTCGAGCACCATCACTCAGTTACCAGACAGGGAAAAGGGCTTCTGGTTTTGGCGCTCTGCTCCCCAGAAGGCTTTCTGACTGGTGGAGGCACTAAGGGAGTGGTCGCAGGTGGACCAAGAGCCCACAGGTAGCTTGGGAGCCCTACCCAGGCCAGGGCCCAGGCAGACACTTAGGGCCGCAGTCAGCCCCCGCCTCACACAGCATAGCAGCACAGCCCCTTCCTCAGCCTAAAGCCCGGCAAAGGGGAAGTCCTTGGGGAGGAGAAGGGAGGTTGGCACAGGTAAGGGTATGCTGCTCTAGGCCTAGATCCCACCTAGAATGTGATCCCACCTAGAAAACGAACGGCACAGTTTTAACAGTTGAACATCTTGGGAAATTCCAAAGTGCTCACTCTAAACTAACATCAGTAACATGGAAGCCATAACAGTAGGCAAGTATGTCCTTCTCTATGAACTCTAGATCGACCTTCTAGTTTTCAAGCACCACAGGAAAACTTAAGAGCTTTAGCCACTTAGTACAGTGCATGTGCTAAGCAGATTTTAAGAGACCCTACATCTACAATGAGTCAAGTACACGTTTACAGCCATTTCATGAAACATGGTTACCTCTGGCTTTTTCTGGGGGATCTGAGATTAAACATGGAGCCAATCTGTGCTTTACTAACAACATGCAACCCATCCTAACTACATGGACACATACAGGTTTATGCAAAAGCCCTGACAGAACTACATTTAGCCTTTCAGACTGAGCAAAGGGCTGGCGACTCACCCTAAATGCCCCACCAACGACAAGAGCAGCAGCTTTTCTATTTCGATACAATTACGGCCAGAAACTATAGGATACAAAATAGAGGCTCTTCCGTAAAGTTTAAGATTTAGGATAGAATTAAGGGAAGACCAAAAAATAAAATTCCTATGAAACCAAAATAGTTCTACATTGGTCTTGTACTCCATGAAACCCTGAGATGAACTGCCATCCTCAATGCCGACACTCGATCTCGGCTCACCAGGATGCTTCAGCAGGCTTCAAACTGGCTCATCATCAACTTCCTGCTGTACTCATAGGCTAAAAATAGCGCCCCATTGGCAGGGAATGCTCGGATCATAGTAGGTTTCAGTCCAGAATATAAGGCCGTTATTCCTAGAAGACAAAAAGTGATCAAGACTGAGACCTCACGTGATGCTGCAGAGCCCGGGGCTGTGTACCTACAAATCCAGACAACGCCCTACAAACCAGTACATGATGGAAGAGCTTCTTTCCAGGTTTCCCTGGACTAACAGGGAACTAAACAGGATCAAAGGAAACAAGAACACACATCAGGCCTCCCAGTGAAGCTGGCGGATGCTCAGGTAACATACACTAATCCTGCGCTTGGTTCACTCCCAGGAAATAGATCACGCAGAGCGGAGTCCTCGCCTGGGGAGACCCAAGTAAGCACAGGGCTGCCGGTGGCAGCAGCTTTGCGGCGTCACCTGGGAGGGTAAGGAGCACGGGCGCCTGGGTCCGCATCCCGTGTCTACTGCCGGCCCTGCCCAAGGTGGCTATGCAGGTCCAGGCGGGCAAGGGAGGTGGAAGTCCTCTGCGAAACTATTGAGTGTTGTGCAGCTTGGGGATATGAACCAAACCGTTTCCACACACCATAACTGTGCTCTCACTCAAAATCAAGACAGAAAGGGCACCTGGGTGGCTCAGTCAGTTAAGTGTCTAGCTCTTGGTTTTGGCTCAGGTCATGATCCCATCATTTGTGGAATTGAGCCCTGCGTCTGGCTTTGAGCTGACAGTTTAGAGCCTCCTTGGAATGCTCTCTCTCTGCCCCTGCCCTGCTCTCTTTCTCCCTGCCCCCCACCCAAAAAAATAAATTAAAAAATCAAGGCACCCGTGGGTGGCTCAGTCAGTTAAGCACTTGACTTCGGCTCAGGTCACAATCTCACAGTTTGTGAGCTTGAGCCCTAGGTCAGTCTCTGTGCTGACAGCTCAGAGTATGGAGTCTGCTTCTGATTCAGTGCCCCCGCCCTTCCCCTCCCCATGTGCGTACTCTGACAAAAATAAACTTACGTTACTACAAACTTAGGGAAAAAAATAATAAAATAAACTTGATAAAAAAAAAATTTTTTTTTAACCTAAGACAGAGAGGAACACCTGGGTGGCTCAGTTAAGCATCTGACTTCAGCTCAGGTCATAATCTCACAGCTCATAAGTTCAAGCCCCACGTCAGGCTCTACACTGACACCTTAGAGTGTGGAGCCTGCTTAGGAGTCTGTCTCCCCCTCTCTTCTGCCCCTCCCCCACTCACATTTTGTCTCTCTCTCCTTCAAAAATAAATGTTAAAAAAAAAAAAAAACTCCAGAGAAGTTCACATCCCAAGTTGTTGGTTGTATACTGGATGCCAGAACAGGCCTTTACTCACTAGTGGCATAAAACTGGCTTGATACAAACATCACCTAGAAAATCTGTATATTCCTGTATAACTCTCAAAATTAATAGCAAATCACCTTCAGGAGATCTTAGCATTAGGAATTTGCTACACGTTCCTCTAAATCTCTAGGTGTCCCTGTTAGAGGTGGGTTTCTGGTTCCATCTGTGTTACGTAAAACAAGTGGTGCTGATGTCAGAACCTGTGTCCCCTTAGCCACGGTTCCTATTTTAACAATTCCCTCCAGGTGATTTAAAACAAAGAGTCCTCCCCCAGAAGTGGGGGTGGGAGCGCAACCCCACACCGTGATCCACCCTCAGCCAGGTGATCCATCCTCAGCCAGGTGATCCACCCTCAGCCAGGTGATCCACCCTCAGCCAGGTTCGCGGAGAAACCCCACTAGGCACATCCACTCCGTTTTGGCAATGAGCAGACCCACCTTCATTTTTCACAATGCTTATCAAGGTTCCGATAAATCCTGCCTGTTTTCCAGACATGGAGAGAACTTGAATTCTGGATTTGACGCAATCCACTGGGTAAACAGCCAGCCAAAGGCAGATTCCACCAACTCCACCGCTTAACATCAAAGGGACAGGCCCTGGGCGAGGAAATCAGCAAACAGCATTTCCAGAGCTCAGTGTCTAGCAGCAGCAGGTAGGCGCGAAAAAGACTCCCAATGGCCCAGAGCACAGTTCTCGGGGGAGCGGCCAAAGCTCTGCGGGCACGAGGTCCCGGGTGGCACTTGGGGTCTCCCCTCATCGCGCTAGGACCCCGTCTGTGCTGGGCGCTGTGGCCCTCTGGGCCCATCCCCAGAGGGCCAGGCCCACACAGACCCAGCACACCCACCGTGAGGAATGCCAACAGGGGCCATGCTCTCTTCACCTCCCTCACTCTCAACTGTTTCAGTATTTTAATGCCCTACTGCCCTTCCTCGTCCTTTACCATGAAAACCAAAGTTGTCTTCTTAAGCACAACAGTTAAGCCCGGGAGTCCGCCTAAGCCCAGAGTGAGTCCAAAACACTGAAGGGAGGTGTTTGAGGGAAAAAAGTAATCATTCATGGGAGCCAGACATGGATATAGTTGCGTCCAGCAGCACAACAGGATAATCTAGAAAGAACCACACTTTTCAACGCTCTGGAAACACTCTCAATTTATTACCAGGTTTTCAGCCTAGTGCAAAATCCTTTATGGGCCATATACCCACATGTTGGAGATTTCCCGCAGGGAAGGTAATTTCGGTATTCTCCTGATACCTCATTCCAGTAAAGAGGTTTGGGACGCACGGCGTCCGTCCCGGGAACACTGCCACACCCACAGGAAGGTGCCAAGTACCCTTCCAGCCTCCAGAAAAGCCAGGCGGACCCCCCCAGCTTCCGCGGCCGCCATGCCACTCTGGGATGGAGCCCACCCCAGGCGACTGGGTCAACGCGGGCACACCTACCTAGTTCATCCTTCGATCTCCCTGATGCAAAAAACGACCTGCTCAGTTCGTAGCCGCCGAAGAAGAAGAAATAGCCTGGCACCTCTCGGAGTAAAGTGCTGGAGAGGCCATGGTAGAAGCCCAAGGGGCCATCCTTCCTGAGGACGCTCTTCACCACGGACCAGACTGTGCTGTGAGGAGACAGTGAGCCGCTGATTCTAGAAACCGAGGGACCCGGATTCTGAGAACAGAAGGCTTCTACTGGGAGGAAATCTCAGAGAAGCACAGACACAGTTATTTCAGGACCGGTCTTCTCATAAACTAGGCGCTGACAAAGACATTTAATTAAAGTGCATTGTAGGAAGCTGGGTGGGCAGCACCGCCCGGGGAACCTTCCCGCCCCTCTCACCCGATGACGGCTCTCCCCAGGGGCTTCGGGAATTGGCCCGCAGCTTTCCCCCATGTAAAGGGTCCCATGAGCAGATGGGGACCCTCAGAAGATATACAAATAAGATCCAACCCCCGTTTGACAAGCAGAAAAAGAAAAGTCCGCGAAAGCCAGACAAGCTTTAATTTTCATATGGCTTGCATCCTCTGGCTCTCTGTAAACAAATTCCTTAGTTCCTCGTTTGAAAATAAAGTGCATTCGTACATTCTAGAGGTCATTACCAAAGGTGTCAAAGAGCCAATACCCACCTTTTTCGAGCAGTGAAATTACAGTAAAGGAGCCATGCAAACTCAGCAAGAATACAGTGGTGGAGTGTTTGCCCAGGCCCCGACCTCCCTCAGCTCCTCTCCTCCCCAACCTTTCTTTTCAACTGGTGTGCACTGAGGGACTTTGTTGGTGCTAGTGCAGGGGAATGAGCAAGGGAGTAAATGTTACTCGAAGGCAAGACAAAGGAAATTTTTAGAAATTCCTGTAGGGAGGGGCGCCTGGATGGCTCAGTCGGTTGAGTGTCCAGCTTCGGCACAGGTCACGGTCTCATGGTTGGGGAGTTTGAGCCCCGTGTCAAGCTCTCTGCTGTCAACAAAGAGAGCCTGCTTTGGATCCTCTAGCTCTTCTCTCTGCTCCTCCCTGCTTATGCTCACTCTCTCAAACAAAACGAAAAAATAAAAGAACAAGAAAAAATTCCTGTAGGGCAAGAAGCACTACGAATTTAGTGTTTAGAGAAATAGGGATGTGAGAATTTTTATTTCAAGCTGCTCAGAGCCCTGTAGCGGCTGGAATGCAGGACACTTCTGCCTAGACCCCTCTTCCTGATGGTGGGCACCATGGCAGACTTTACCCGTCAGAAAAGCAGCACCACAAACACATCCTCGGTGCAGTTTTAGAGAACTCTTCACTCCTCACTTAGCTCTCAGCAGGTGACCCTAGCTTGGACCAGCCGGGGAGGAGCAAGGCCCAAGTAATAAAAAGGCCCTTCAGAAGGCTTCATCAGGCATCTCCCATTAGCCGGGTCCTTCCTGCAGCTCTGTTCCATTGCCGTTGTAGAATGGGAGCTAAGTAATTCAACTCAGTGCCTTCTGATCCCAGTCTTAACCGCAAGCTACCATATACCCCTGCGGGGTCACTGCTCCACTTAAAATACAGTCAATATTTACTTTTGTGCAAAGTATCCATTTGCCTAATTCTTTGGAGCCAAAATTTGCTTTCTTAAAAATACCCTAAACTACTAAGGGACACAAGAGCAACTTTCTGGGTGTGGTTAATGTTCTACCTCTTAGTCTGGGCACTAGTTTCAAAACTATGTTTTAGGACCACAGAGCCCCACACTTAGGATTTCTGCATATATATTACATTTCAATAAAGAGTTTTAAAGACTTACACTTTTGGACCCCTAAGCTAAGACTAGATTCAAACTGGCTGTAATGAATCTCAAGGGTGTAGAGCTCAATTACACAAAGCCCATCCTCACTGGGAGGAGACGAACTCTATAAATGGCCTATTGATGTGTTTCTTCCCCAGCAGATTTACAGACTGAGATTAAAGAAGATAATACATTGCTTTACAATCCAAATAAATCATACTATATGTGACACTCTCTCATGAGGTAACTAGAATCAGTTTTAAAGACTGAAGGGGAAAAGGATTAAAAAAAGAGATTCAAGGGGCGCCTTGGTGGCTCAGTCGGTTAAGCGTCCAACTTCAGCTCAGGTCATGATCTCACAGTTCGTGGGTTCGAGCCCCATGTCGGGCTCTGTGCTGATGGCTAGCTCAGAGCCTGAAGTCTGCTTCAGATTCTGTATCTCTCTCTCTCTCTGCTCATGCGGTCTCTCACTCAGAAATAATAAAACATTTTAAAAAAAAGAGAGAGAGATTCAAAGGGGACATGCACCCCAATGTTTATAATGGCATCATCAACAATTGCCAACAATGGAGAGCGCCCATAGAATGCCCACTGACTGATGAATGGATAAAGAAGATGTAGCATGTGTGTGTACATATACACATTGCCATTTGCGATGACGTGGATAGGGCTAGAATGTATCACGCTAAGTGAAATAAGTCAATCAGAGGAAGATTTCACTCATATGTGGAGAAACAACACAGATGAATATATGGGAAGCGCAGAGGAAGAGACAAACAAACCACAAGAGACTCTGAATGACAGAGAACTATGGGTTGACGAGGGAGGTGGGTGGAGGGGGGACCTAAGTGGGGGATGGGCATTAAGGAGGACACCTGAGAGGAACACTGGGTTTTGTACGTAAACACCACCACCCTGAATTCTATTCCTGAAACCAATATTGCACTATATGTTAACTAAAATTTAAATTTTAAAAATATGTTTGGAAGAATTCACTTATAGAAAAAAAATAGTAAGATCTAGAAGATTTAAACATGATTAACAAATGTGACCTATAGAATACTATATCCAATAAATGAATATATGGTCTCAAAAAAAAAAAAGAAAAAGACTGAGGGGGAGGGGCACCTGAGTAGCTCAGTCACTTGAGTGTCAGACTCTTGATTTTGGCTCAGGTTGTGATCCCAGGGTCATAGGATTGAGCCCCGTGTCAGGCTCAGTGCTGAGTGTGGATCCTGCTTGGGATTCTCTCTATTTGCCCTCTCCCCGACTGGCTCATATGCTCTCTGTGTCTCTCAAATAAATAAACGAATAAATGAGGCAATATTTATTAAAAAAAAAAAAAAAAGGACAACGACAGAGGGGACAGTGGTTTGATGGTTGCAGAGCAGCTCACAAGGGCTCTGAGGAGTGTTTTCAGAACCTGCCTCTGTGGGTACATGTGAGGGATGAGAAAGGGAGGGGAGGAAGTTACCTGGGATCTGGGGTGATCACCCGTGTGAAACCTGGAAATGCACTTCAAATATTCATCTCAGGACCCGAATTCGTACTTGTGAAGGCTCAGCCTTCAGGCACAGTTGCAAAGCTGTCTGCTCTGTTCCTCGTATACAGCTGAGGCTCTGCCTCATGCCCTCAACAAGCCAAGAGCAGTACTCGCTCCTGGCCTGCTTCCCAGGTATTAAATATCTGCCTACGATGCTCTGTTGTGGGGGCAGAGGTAGGTGCAGCCATCACAGACAGTCTGGTCAGAAAGTTATCCTCTGGTTGGGGAAAAGATTCTAGAAACACTACTTTGGAGTAGACAAATCCGTTTCTCTTGCTTAGCTTGGGTACAATAGAAAATTTACAAATACTCCATGCGCCAAGCCAACAGAGACCTGACACCTGAGCCCAAGCAGTGCTTACTTATGGCTTCTGGCGATCTTCCCTGATGACTCCATTTCATGCATGGTCTGTAGCCGGCACTTGACAAGCTCCGTGGGGCAAAGCACGAGAGCAGCAAAGGCAGAGGCGAAGGAACCAGCGGCCGCGTTCTGCAGATCACTGGAAGGAAACAGGCACAGGGCTCCAGTTATTCATTCACTCAGCACTCACCGTGCAAAGCACTCAGGCAGTGAGGGAGAGCAAGGAGCGAAGGAGAGGAACGCTTGGACACCTGCACATGGTGCTTCATCTAAGGGTCCCACAACCCTGTGAGGCTGACAGCAACACCCCAGCTGTCACATGGCAATACAACAAATACACAGATCACATACTACTAAGTGATCATATGAAGATTCAAACGCAGGTCTGCCTGACTGCAAAATCTATGTTCCCAGTGCTATGCACCGAATGTATCCCCCACCCCCAAATTTCTATGCTGAATCTTTATTCCCCAATATGATAGCATTTGGAGGGGGGACTTTGGGAGGTAATTAGATTGAGATGAAGTCAAGAGGGCAGAACCCCCAGGATGAGATTAGTGTCCTTCTAAGAGACCACCCAGCTCTCTCTCTACCCACTGAAGACACACACAGCAAGAAGGTGTCCCTCTGCAAATCAGTAACTGGACCCTCACCAGACACCAAATCAGCCAGCAACATGACCTTGACCTTTCCAGTCTCCAAGAACAGTGAGAAAGAAAGCCACTCAGTTGATAGCATTTTGTTACAGCAGCCAGAACTAAGACACAGTGATACACAAAACAAAATCAAAAGGAGGGAGGGCGGGAGGGAGAAGGAAAAAGAGGAAAATATTACCCATACTCCCACCCCCATCCCAAAGGCACCCATTGTTAACACTGCAGCGTATGTGCCACTAGGCTTTATAAACCCAGGTTCTGAGTCTGTCCCCCTGTGCCCCAAATTCCAACCTGGAGCAACCAGGTATGTGATGTAACTGCCACAGACGAAAGCCCAGGATAAATTTTTAACCATAAAGCTGCTCGTTGCAAAAAAGTTTTCCCAGCTCAGCTGATGACCTCCTGACCTCAGCAACAGAGGATAGTAGCATAGGAGGGGAGAAGCCAGCGCCAGCCAGCAAGCTCGGTGGTCGGAGGTGAAAAGGCTAAGTCGGGAATCCACATGGAGGAACGCAGGCAAGTACAAAAACCAGAAGTATTCACCTCACCTCAAAAGGTTTTGGTGCCAGCGGCCACGGTCACCGGCAGGGCTGTGAAACTGAGGTCCACTAAAGAGTCCAAAAATACGGGGGAAAGCCTGAGAAATCCATCGTCAGGAATTCTTCTGAGTGTTCATGGGGGTCAGAAAATAAGACCCTTTCCAACCCGGACAGTGTTCTGCCACAGGACCTCAGCTGGCACACGGGGCTGGGCAGGGAGCAGCAAGTGGCTCGCAGCAGGACAGTGGGCTCTCTGACATCCATTAGATGCCTGCATCCCACGGACACTGGACACCGGGATGACATGTCCCCGGGGGGTAATCCCCCCAGCTGGCTGCCCTGGGTGGAGATCCCCCAACAATTTTTCTCTAAATCATGAGCAACAGCCGAATAGCTCTTTCAGTTGTCCTCAAGTTACATAAACGGACGTCAGGCAGTAGTATAAAATCCAGGGCCGCCTCCACCCTCAGCCCCTCTTCTATCCCCTGGTGACCTGGTGCTGGGGGCAGACAGAAGGAGGGAGGCCGGGGTCCAGCAGGCGGCCACACACCTGGGTCCCAGAAGAGCTGGCCTGGAGGAAGGCTTTCTTCCAGGAGGAAAACACTGCAACACAGACTTGCTTTTCATTTCAGAGAATTAAATATCAGCCCATCACCTGGCGAGAGCCACACACAGGGCTGTCCTTGCTCTCAGCTTCTAGTGTGCGGGAAGCGCCCAACACTGCTCACACTCTTCCTTCCTGCCTTCCCTCCCTCCCCGCCTTCCTTCCTGATAGACTTAGCTGTCTGTCAAGACCAAAGCTTCAACTGGTTTCTGTGGTCCTCCAGCCAGCCTGCAGATCCATACCTGGCCTCCCTCGGACTCTCTGTCAACCTGCTGACCGGCAACCGTCAATTAGGCTCATTAACCAGAGTTGCCAAGCTTGCTGGAACAAAGGTGGCATCAATAAATGGGGACATCTATCCATCTAAGACACAATAACGGCTCGGCCGCCCGAATGAACACTGAGCAGGCCGATCCAGCACAACAACAAGGCCGAGTCAGGTGTGCGGTGGACTCTGGCTCTCTGCTAAGTACTCTCCTCTTCCAGGGCCTTAAATGAGGTACGCCGGCCCCACGCTGCACCTGCCGTATAGGCGCTCTGAACGGGAACGGAAGCCGCAACAGGCCTAGGATGGGGTTTTGTAAGAATCCAGCGTTTGTCCCCCTTCAACAAACAAGCACCTGGACGCTCGTGCTGTGTTTAGGCCCATGTGGCCAGGGGTCAAAGGAGAACACGCCTTGCGGTGGCATTGCAACCAAGGACACACAAATATTTACAGTACTATTGCTGAAATTCATGGCCATGCTTCTACCAAGCAGGGCTTTCCTTTCACTGCTTCTACTTATTACTCTTTTTTCTAGGCCTGGCCCCTACCACACAGTCCAGAGCCCTGACTCCCCTCTTAGGGAAAGAATACCAGACGGGGGCTCAGAAGACATGGGTTTGAGTCCTGCTCTCTGTCATCAGGTCAGATAATAGGATCCTAAGCCGGTCAGGATCTGCATGAAACTTTACCCATTTAGAACACACATACCACCACCGGCTTTGCTGCTCTCAGAGGACATCAGCGAGGGCTAAACAAACAAAAAACCAGGATAGCCGTGGAAGTCACAGATCTGTCAGCTCTACGGCAGCATTTTCCCCAACAGACAGTAAGTGCACACCGTTCTGCAGGATGAAAGGCAGCCCCCTCCCACGCCACCAAGACCAAAAAAGAAGAGGGTGCTGGGTTAGGCCAAGCGAAAGAGGGCAGCTCCCTTGTTGCAGGACTTCCTCCAGGATCCCACGTGGCTGCTCGCTGTCCGTCTTCTCTGCAAGGCATCCTCCTCTGGGGATGCTGTGGGGGACCTAACCCCCAGGTCTCCTCAAGTAGAAAGTCTCCCCCGTGAGCGGGGAGAGCGACGGTCACGAAGGGTTTTTCCCATCCGTCTCTATCATGAGATCCCACATCCTCCTGGTTGGTCTCCTGCGTATTTCTTTACTTCCTCCCTTGTTCCTGACCCCTCTGTGCTGGAAGGTCCTGGAATCGGTGTGCAGCCCCCTACAGAAGCTATCTCCCTGGGTGATTTCATCCAGTCCCCTTAAAAAACAAGTTCCATTCATCAAGATGAAATTCCTGGGTACAAAAGGACAGGTCTTAAAGACCATTAGGCACCTCCAGAGGACATTTCTGTTCAAAGGAGACCTGCTTTGGGGCGCCTGGGTGGCTCAGTCAGTTAAGCATCCAACTTCGGCTCAGGTCATGATCTTGCAGTTCATGGGTTCAAGCCCCGCATCGGGTTCCATGCTGGCAGCTTGGAGCCTGGAGCCTGTTTCAGATGCTGGGTCTCCCTCTCTCTCTGCCCCTCCCCCACTCATGTCCTGTCTCTGTCTCAAAAATAAACTATAAAAAAAATTTTTTAAAAAAAGGGACCTACTTTAGTCAGGTGGGACCTGAGTTACAATAGGGTTTCCAATTCCTACCAGTACAACCCAGAAGACTGTCTGCCCTTTGCAACCAGGAAGCTGATACAAATGATTAAAAAACAAAAAATCAGCGTTCGAAAAAGGGATAGCTACACACACCAGTGGCTCCCGAGTTGTTCTTAGTCGCCGTGTATGTAAATATCCAAGGGGTGACCAAGCACAAGGCAAAGTCTGACGTTTGGGGCAGACGTGGCTAAACAAACAGGTTCAGCTGCAACTTCTCAGATGCTTCCGACTCTTCGTAAAATTCCAAGTTCCTCTCAGCCTTCTGTGGCTCCGGCAGCTTCTTCTGATCCTCCGCACTTCGCCGAGGAAGTGGAATCCCAGGCTTGGCTCACACGCTGCCTCTGCGGCTGTGGTCCAGAGCCTGTGCCCACAAGGAAGCGGCACCACCAGCGGCACCCGGAAAGCACCTTCCTGAAGAACACCAACACGGAAGGGTGGTTCCTTCCCCATGGTGCATTACAGGCCAGCCTCCTCCTGCAGAATTCGTGGCTTGCAAGTTTTATAGGATGACAACGTATTACTTCATAGCCAGAGAGAAGGGGTTATTTTTAAAAAGGATGCATTCTTCCCATAAGGGATCATAAAAGCCTTAACCACACGACAATGTTGTCTGGTTAAAGAAACTGAGCAGGTGTCAGTGCCCACAACTCACCTCAGCTTGGCCTGCTTCTCCAATCCAACCACTTTCCGCACCACCTGCTGGCAGAAGCCGTAGCACATGAAGAGGACGGAGTTCTCAGCGATGTTGGCGATCAGCGCCGGGCTGGTCCCCTTGTAGAAGCCCCGGAAGCCCACTTGGGAGTAGGTTTTCAGGCAGCAGTCGGTGAGGCCCCTGTACAGGTCGGGGAACGTCTGCATCTTCACTTTCACGGTGTCGAAGGGTTGCCCCGTCAGTACACATGCCGTGCCCCCTACAACCAGGACAGAAATCTCCTCCAGCACGAGCCTGCCTGTTTTAGAGCACAGCCTCCAATACCCGCAGAAACGAGAGGGAGGCAGCCTACCCCAGGGCTTACTTCCGCTTCCGTTCATTCGACCTCTTTCTCCCCCAAACCTGCTGGCCCAGTCCAAATACCGACACAGGGTCCCCAGTGTGCCCGGCACCCAGCTACAGCCCTGAAGGGGCTCACCCTTGGCAGGAGAGACAGATGGGAGTTCAACAGTCAAAACCACCAGATGCAAAAGTGTGGAGGGCGTTCGGGGGTATCAGCAGTGGGGTCTGAGGGACCTGGGCTGGAGGCCTGGCGCTGCTGGGAGGTCCCGGACAAGCAAGATCAGTTCTGAGCCCTGGTTCCTCACTCGGTTAGCATGAGGATTCAATAAAAATGGAGGAGAAGGATTAACAGAACAGCTGTTGTTTATCAACAAGTGGTTGATAAACAGCACTTAGTCTGTGTGTATGTGCAACCATACAGAAGGGAGAGAAAGTCCAGCAGTAATGAATCACTCCTCTTTGCCTAAGGCCCAGCAGGACTGAGGACGATCAGAAAAACAGAGAAAGAAGCAACAGATAAAGACAGAGTTTGGCCAATCACTAAAGAGCTAAAATTTGACCATATGGAAAATCTTTATTGGACTCTACCAATTCATGATTTGTATTCGAATAGGGAATGCACTGAAACTTACCTCTGCTTAGTAGAAGTCACCTATTTTTGCACTCTTATACTCTAAGAGTTTAGAAAATGGCAAAATCTCAATTGCATTAGGTTACTTCCATAAAAATTCTGAACGTAAGGGAAAAGTTGAACTAGAACCACCCTATAATATCCCCAGACCCCAGAGTGGGTCAACATTTGGGAAATGTCACCAGCTAACACTTCCATCTTCCTTGGGCCAAAGAGGCCTCTGTAGCTCAGACATTCCCCACTTGTGCCAGCAAACATAACCATCAATGAAGTTTTTAAAGCTTCATCAAAACTGAAGAGAAGACTTAAATATTTAAGAAATACAATTTCATAATTTGACATCACAAGGTTACCCCAACTAAACTGTGGAAAGTAGAGATATGAGAGGGACTGCTTTAAATGACTCCCAAGTAATTACTGGCAGATAAAAAGGCCATTTTCAAGGAGTTCTGCAAACTGGGCTCTTCTTTTAAGCAATCCCAAGTGTGATCTCTGGGATCCTCTCCCTACTGTTCATTTCTTCTAGGAGAGTAGTGATGCATTTCCACGTTGCCTTGCCAAGTGATCCCCAGTTTGGAATTATAACCTCTTACAGCTCAAGAAGAGGTCACTACCATTAGGGTTATTCTTTACCAGGTACTCATAAGAATAACAGAAGACCCTAAACCAAAAAATAATTTAAACATTTGAAAAGAGGAGGTAAATCTCAGCATTTTTAAAGAGGATACATAATTTAGGTAACCTAGATGCAGATACACTAGATAAAGCATTTAATTCAGAGCATTACAATTTTAACTGGAAGCTTCCACATCTTAATTCAGTCATCCCAAACAGGTGGACATCACAGGTTGCTAATGAACACATTTGTTGCAGATCCTGAACAGTTACATTTCCAATAGGGAGAAAGTAGGAAGCTAGCACACTTTCAAATGCTTACTAAAGTCTACCCTCTCATCTACAGGGGGTAAGTGGACTCTCCTGTAATGTATTACAAATGACACTGTCGAGGCACGTGCTGAGCCCCACTCAAGTGGCTGAGGACTACTCCAAACACCAGTACCAGTCACTGAGACCCAGTAGGTGCTTACATACCCATCAAGTATCCATGAAGCTATGAATAATTTACAGGAATATTTCTCCACTTGCTTAGACAACAGACCTCCGATCATCTCATTCTCCTTGAGAGACAAATGGAAAGAGCATCTGCTTTTTTTGGTAGGTGTCCCAACAGGCCCTGAATTTTATCCTGCAAGAGAGGCACCCAGACCATGGGGCACTCTACACCTTACCAAGGTCAGAGTTGTGGGTTTTCTATGCTTGACACAACTGAGTTGGCAAAGGACTGTCAGGGCAGGGATGGTGTCGGTGGGGAAAGTAGGGAGGCTAGAACTAAAGACCAAGAAGCAGAACCTTGACCACCTTGTCCAATAAATGCTCTAACAGTGCAGGAAGCATAGCAATTTTTAAATATTCTAATAAAAAATGCTCTTGATGGACCAAATGCTCCAATCAAAAGACAGGGTAAGGATGCCTGGCTGGCTTAGTTGGTAGAGCACATAACGCTTGATCTCAAGGTTGTGCATTTGAGTCCTATGCTGGGTGAGGGCTTACTTAAAAAAAGAAAAAAAGAGGGGGCACCTGGGTGGTTCTGTCAGTTAAGTGTCCTGAACTTCAGATCAGGTCATGATCTCATGGTTCGGGAGTTTGAGCCCCGCATCAGGCTCCAGACTGACAGCTTGGAGCCTGGAGCCTGCTTCAGATTCTGTGCTTCTCTTTCTCTCTCTGACATCCCCCTACTAGTGCTCTCTCTCTTAAAAATAAACAAACATTAAGAAAAAAGGACACTGGGTGACTGAATGAACACACACACACACACACATCTATATGCTGCCTACAAGAGACTCACTTCAGACCTAAACACACATACACTGAAAATAAAAAGGGGAGGAAAAACATTTAACATGCAAAAGAAGGCGACTCACTTCAGACCTAAACACACATACACTGAAAATAAAAAGGGGAGAAAAAACATAAAAAAAACTGTAGAAGGCCAAAAAAAAAAAAAAAAAAAAAAAAAAAAAAAAAAAAAAACTGGAGTGGCAACACACAAAATACTGCAAAACAAACACTGTAGCAAGAGACAAAGAAGGGCACTACATCATGATAAAGGGATCAATCCAACAAAAGGATAGAACATTTATAAACAGCTACGCACCCAACACAGAAGCACCTAAATACATAAAGCAATTGACATAAAGGGAAAATTTGACAGTAATGCAATAGTAGAGGACTTTAGCACCCCAACTACATCAACAGATCACCCAGGCAAAAAATTAACAAGGAAACAGTGGCTTTGAACAACACATTAGACCAGATGATCATAACCTATACATACAGAACATTCCATCCAAAATCAGAAGAAAACACACTGTTTTCAAGTGCACATAGAACATTCTCCAGAATAGATCATATGTTAGGCCACAAAAATCTCAATAAATTTAAGAAGATTGAAATCAGGGCACCTGTGTGCCTCAGTAGGTTACGCGTCCAACTCTTGATATCAGCTCAGGTCATGATCTCACAGTCGTGAGATCGAGCCCCACATTGGCTCCACACTGAGCATGGATCGTACTTAGGCATTTTCTCTCTCCCCCTTTAAGCTCCCCCACTTGCTCACATGTGTTCATGCAATCTCTCTCTTTCTCTCTCTCTCAAAATAAATAAAATTTAAAAACACTGAAATCAGGGGCACCTCAGTAGCTCAGTTGGTTAGGCGTCCAACTTCGGCTCAGGTCATGATCTCACAGTTCATGGGTTCGGGCCCTGCGCTGGGCTCTGTGCTGGCAGCTAGCTCAGAGCCTAGAGCCTGTCTTTAGATTCTGTGTCTCTCTCTCTGCCCCTCCCCTGCTCATGCTGTATCTCTCTCTCAAACCCACAGCTAATATACTCAATGGTGAAAAATTGAGAGCTTTTCCTCTATGATCAGTAACAAGACAAGGATGTATCCTCTCATTACTTACTCAACATAGTACTAGAAGTCCTAGCTATAGCAATCATACAAGAAATAAAAGGCATCCAAATTACCTTCTTCCAATTAAGGAAGAAGCTACACTGTCCCTAATTTGCAGATGAAAGGATAGTGCCTAAAGAAAACCTCAAAGACTTCACCAAAAACCTGTTTAAACCGATAAATGAATTCAGTAAATTTGTAGGATACAATATTAAAGAGAATTCTGTTGCACGTTTATAGTATTAGAAAGAGAAACATTTTTTAATTTAAAATTTTTTAAAAAAGAACACTTAAGAAATAATCCCATTTACAATCACTCCAAAAAAAAAAACACCAAACCTAGAAATAAACTTAACCAAGGAGGTGAAAGACCTATACTCCTGAAAACTATAAAGCATTGAGAAAGAAACTAAACATGACACAAATGGGAAAGAAATACCATGCTCATGGATTGGAAGAACAAATATTGTTAAAAGGTCCATACTACCCAAAGCAAAATCAACAGATTCAATGCAATCCCTACCAAAATACCAACATTTTCCCCAGAACTAGAATAATCCTACAATTTTCAAGGAACCACAGACATCCCTGAATAACCAAAGCAATTTTGAAAAAAACAACAAAGCTTGAGGTCATGATCCCAGATTTCAAGATCTACTACAAAGTCCTTGGTCCATGTGTGCATCCTCAGGCTGGATCCCTTCTCCAGGCACTAAGACACAGTTGTACAGATGACCAAATCCTGCTCTGCAAAGTACTTCCTTCCAGGTGAATGACCCTCACTGGACGATATACATTTAAAAAAAATTTTTTTTTTGAGTTTGGGAAAGTCTAGCAGGACTGCTAAAACAAAAATTACTCTTCAGGAAAATAAAACAATCCAGTTTTGACAACATATCCACAATTCCTTGTGTACAGTCAGAAATTGCCAGACTTGCAAAGAAATAGAAAAATATCACCTATAGGGAAAGAATTCAGTTGATGAAACTGAGCAGGAGATAGTTCAGGTGTTAGATTTAAAATGCAAAGACATAAAGGACTGCCTGGATGGCTCAGCTGGTTAGGTGTCTGACTTCAGCTCAGGTCATGGTCTTACAGTTCACACGTCTGAACCCCACATCGGGCTCTATGCTGACAGCTCGGAGCCTGAAGCCTGCTTCAGATTCTGTGTCTCCTTCTTCCTCTGTGTCCCTCCCCGCTAACACTCTCTCAAAAATAAATAAAACATTAAAAAACTAAAAAGACGCAAAGACATATCAACAGTCATCATAATAAA